GCAGTGTTTTAAAACGCGTGTAGTGTAATGCGTCGCGTTTTTGTCTTTATAATGCGTAGCGTAAATAACGTTGCGTGTTGCGTAAGCTATCTGGGTATAATATTTTTTTTTATAGAAATATTACAAGTATATTTACATATAATAAAAATGGATAGTTGATTACAAAAATTATCATAATATTTGAATGACTTAAAAACAACATCAAAGGATTAATTCTCACAAATGTTTAATGTAAATATCATCATAATATAAATTATTAATACTAAATCGAATATATTAAAAAGTAAAAACAAAAAACAAAAATATAATGAGGTAAGTCATAGTATAATTTGAAGCATATACATTTTAATTATTAATTTTTATTTAACTACAACTTAATTCTAATCATAAGATATGAACTATTTATTCTTTGTTTAAATGTCAAATGTCGAAAAATAAAATAATATAACAAAAATGAATAAAAAAATATTGCACTATTCGATTTAGGACTTTGCATTTCAAATTTTTAATTTGAAATCATTATCAAAATTTTTAATTTTTACTTGTCATTTGAAAATATGACTTTGATCCTTAAAAAATACAAGTTTTTGAATATATTATTGTTCAAATGTCTTTGCAGAAATAAGCGCAATGTAGCGCACAATGATGTGATATAGCGCAAAATATCGTAAGGTTTTCGAGAAAAAATGCTAAAAATATAAGGCCACATCGCGTTTTTCCAAAAAAAAAACAAATATTTAGCGAGTAATAGCGATCTACACAGCGAGTTATTTAAAACAATAGTCGGGGGAGAGATAGAGACCAAACACTAGTTTCTAATAGTGGTAATGGCCCTTTATAGCACTTTAGCAAAAACAAAAATGAAATATGTGATTTTTTTTTTTTAAAAGATGAAATCTAGTCGTTTTAGGTTAAAAAAAATACCAAATTGCCCTTTTAATACACTCAAATATCTATATTCTATTAATATTTAATACAGTCAAATTCCCCAAAGGCTCAGCCGCTGCAAGCATGAGAGGACGAAAAAAAAAGAAAAATCCACCAAAATTCTTAAAAATCATCACCATAAATATCCTTGGTGAGTCCTTAACTAGCAGAGGAGATGATAATCTTACCCGACGTGTTACAAGTTCAAACCTTGTTTGCATTGCTAAAAGCAACCTTTAGAGAAAAAAAGAAAAAAACAGAAGTAAAACTTAATTTGTATGGAACTGTATAGTAAATTTAGTAACATATGATCTGTCTCGGGTTTTGGCCGCTGTTGCAGTTTAGAGGGCCCACATTTGCGATCAGGCTTTCCGTGAATTCGGGCGGCTGGGTACTGAGACTCGACACCGTTTGGTAGATGGAATCGGAATCGGCTCCTGACTCGGTAAAAAACGCACCATTCGACTCAGTGTTTCCGTACGATCTCCAGTACCATCCCTGCCACTCACTCTCCGGTGCGACTTCATGTTTGGTCACCTACATATATACACACATACATACATACATACATGCAAATATAACCTAGTTATATCATATATATTACTTATGATAATCACTAACAAAAAAATAATAATGAAATTTCAACTGAAAATATATTCCAATTAATATTTCAATATAAGTTTGTTAACAAATTCACCTCCTTGGCAAAGGGATCGTCGGGAGCAATGAAATGGTTGCCTTCGGCTAGGATGAATGGATTCGCACTCCCTCCGATGGCGTACATCTTCCAACGCTCGTACTTGTTGTTCACCACGTGGAAATGCCCATGCCTGCATCTGCATAGACGCAGACAAGATGAATTTAGGGCCTGTCTAAATATAAATATATATATCCACTCAACACAGCTGTTTTTTTTTTTTTTTTAACTAGGATTAATTTTGAAAAAAAATAGTAACCTGGGCATCCTCTGCGTGAGCCCCTCAGCGAAGTAATTGTACGCGATGGTGGCTCTCATGTTCGTATCTGGCGTGTAGCTGTCGGCGTGTCCGAACAACATGACCTCGTTGTGATTGGCAAAGTAGTTGTTCGATACAGTGATGTCGGTGGACCCCATGACTGCATCGATGAGCCCATCGGTACAGCTCTGCAGGTTGCAGTGGTCAATCCACACGTTTTTTGAGCCGAAGATGCATATGCCATCCCCATCGGACTTCATCCGATAACCATAATGGCTCGTGCTCGACCGGACCATCGTGTTTCCACCCGGCGACATGTCGCGAATGGTTACACCGTGGATGATGACATTTTCGACAAATTGTATGGTGAGACCAGAGCGGCCGTTGAACACGACGTTTGCTCCTCGACCGTCGATCGTCGTGTCGGAGGTGATGATGAGCTCCTCCTTTAGAGTAATGACCATATCGCCGGAGAATATGATCCACACGGGATATTCTTGGATGACAGCGTGGCGGATTGTGCCCGGTTTTGGGCTGACCACGTCACCATCGTCACTGCTCGTCACGAGGTAGATTTCGCCGTCCTTGCCGCCAGTGGTGCCTTTGCCGAAACCCATGGCGCAATCCGCAAGTTTCATGCGGTCCCAATAACCATACGTGTCCTTCATCTGGTCGCACATTAGGCAGTCGTCGATTGAATTGCCGGTAGCGCAACTCAGGTAGCCTAGTTCCCTCCTCGTCCTGTGTCGCCGGAAATTTCTTTTACCCCAAAATAAAATACAAACTTCGTTTTTGTTTTTGTCAGTTACAAATAAAATGTAGGTGAGAGTGTGCGATTACGTACCTATTGACTGGTTCGTCTTTGGCTGCCAAGGAAGGGGAAATAGAGGCAGAAATAGTACTAATAATAATAAAAATAAGAAGAAGAAAAACAGCCGGATGATTTGTGAGGAGGAGCTGATGAAGATGAGAGATATTTGTCATTGCCATGGCCGGCCGTTGCAAGTGATTAGTTAACTGGATATGATATCAATTAACAGAACAAA